GAGATATCACAGGAGAAGGAACAAAGGCAATAGTGAATTGTATTTCTTGAAAACTGCCAGCAAGTACACCTTCTAGCATCTGAATTCACTTAAAGTGCTTCTATTAAAATCTTCAGAAATAATTATCTATTTGCTTCTGCCAGCAACAAAGATGAAGATTATTAAACTAAGCAAGCTGTTGCCCAGTACCTGGCAGGGTAGTCAGCAAAACTGATTTACCAGATGTCTTATAAAATGTTGGGTAGATTTTTTATTATTACTATACTTTTTCACCTACTTCTTCCCTTTATGGCCCACTTCTGTAAAAATGTGCTAGCATGAGTCTGAACATGGCAGTCCTGTTAGTAAACCTACCAGTAAATATAAAGAACCACCTTGTTCTGCCTAATAAATGCCTCTGTAAAGTAAAGGAGACTGACACTTAAATCAAGGACTACTGAAGTATAAAATATCTCATTCTACTTTATAAAAACACCCTGTCACAGGTAGGTCAGCCTTGTGGTAAAGGATGGTCCTTTAAAGATCTGAAGTCCAACAGAGGTGTTTGTTCCATCACTCTCTATGTTCAGCTAAAAGACCACTAAATCTGCTATGGAGAAGGGAGATATAAAAGAACAAATACTACACAACGTTCAAGTTTTTAATTATTGTGACACTAATTGTTGAATCTTGTGGAATCAGATCTGCTTCACCTTTTTTGAAAATTTTCTTTAAATATTTGCCATAATAAATTCTTTGTTCTCCTCCCAATACTTTTCTTAAAGTGCTAATGCTGTTTACATTGATGGGGCTGGCTACATTATTCTTTCTCTAGATCACATTAATCAAAGTGGCCAACTTGTGGCACGTGAGCCATGGGCAGCCTGTGTGTGTGGCACGTAGCAGATCAGGGAGGGAGCAGGCAGCACAAAGGCATATAGGGCAGAGAGGAGAAAACTGAGTAGCCAATTGGGCAAGGGGGAGGGTGTGGTAGCACTGGGAAGGGTGTGGTAGTAATTTGTGGCATGCCTGCCAAAAAGATTGGCCCCACTAACAAATCAAATGAATGATGGGGTATGTAAATCAATCAATACTGGAACCTGTCAAAAACAATGAAGAAAAAGGAAAAGTACCCCAAAATATCATCTGTATTTCAGATGAAGCCGGATGATGGGTTTTTTTTTATCTCTCACAATAATATTTTAATACTATTTGTTCCATCAGTGACTACTGATGACTTTAAGTTTCAACTGTGGGTGTAATATCTGAAGAACTATATAACTTGTGTCCAAAAGTTTTAAAAGAGTTAGCTGATGAGTTCTCTCAACCATTCATTTGATTTTTAATAAATCTTGGAATGGCAAGGAAGTCCAGAAGACTGGAAATAAAGCTAATATCGTGGCATTATTTTAAAAGGGAAAACAGTGCAATAGTAGTAACTGTATGTTGGTTTGTTTCTACCTATCTTGTCAACTATTTTTGTCCCAGGACAAAGTGTAACTGTTTAGACGTCCATATCTGTTGTTCCAGGATACATCCTAAAGAGATTCACAGGTTGAGAAGTACTAACAGTTTACTCTTGGACATTTAAAGTGCACCTGAATGGTTCTCTCAGGATTGCATCACTGAGTCAATGGCAGAAAAGCGGCAGTGCACGCAGCCACTCACTAAACCCCAATTAGAAGAGCAATGAGTGTCCACTCCAATACCAGCATATTTCTGTTCCTGGAAAAACACAGGTTCAACTTGTCCAAATACAAAACCTGTTTCTAGCCTGACAGGATGGGGAACTGTACTCTGAAAAGGTTCAGGAGTTGCAGTGCATAAGCAAGTGAACAGGAGCACCCAGGGAATTGCAGCTGCTAAAAGGGCCGCTAAAGTCCTTAGATATATATAAAATGGAAACTCTTGGGTAAGAATTGATATAAACTTCACTTACAAGCATATTGGATAAACACATAGTTCATTCAATTGTTAATATAATACTGGTCTCAATTCTTTGTTTACTGTTTACCTTGTAACCAGTATCAGTTATCTGCATATTGGTTAGGTACCTCAACTGCTTAAATGCACGTGAATTGTTGAGTCCGCTCCTACTCTCTACTTAGTAACATAACCGTATTCCCTTTAACAACATAATTTCTGAAAGTAACAGCTATCAATCCCCAGGATGCCAAAACAGCCGTGAAGGGACTAGGTCTTGTCAACTTCAAAGCTGTTTGGAGAAGCATAAAACCTCTGAGGAACAAGGTTACAAGCCTCAGTGAGGCGTGAGCAGGCTACTGAAGGCTGTTCTCCCAGTTAATGAGCCTACAGGTAAATGTTCACTCCAGTCAAGTGAATAGCTTTTTTAAAGTTGCATGGCTATGCACTTAGCAGAGTGCAAAGTACCTGTGTATACTGCACTAATGAGGCCATTACTGGAATACTTACCCAGTGCTGGTGTCCACACTTCAAAACTAGAGATGCTGAAAGAAGTGAAGGCTGAAAATCCTGCCCTACAGTGCAAGATTTAAGAAACTCAGTCATCCAACTTATCAAAACTAAGGTGTAGAAGTGATTCATTCAGTCCTCAAGTGCTTATGTAGTGGTTTCTTGAGTCTAGCAGACAAAGGCCTAACAAGATCAAGTGACTGAAAGTGGAAGCTAGACAAAGTCAGATGAGAAATAAAGTTTTAAAAAAACTGAGAGTATAACTAATCATCAAAACAATTTACCAAGAAATATAGTGGATCTCCATCTCTTGCAGTCTCTAAGTTAAGCGTGGATGTCTTTCTAGAAGACATGCTCTAGATCAGTGGGGCCAACCTTTCTGGCAAGAGCGCCACAAATTAGCATCTCACCCTCCCCAAGGGTCACTTCGATCCCCTTCCCTTGTTCAATATGCTGCTCTGCTTTCTGTTCCCAGCCCTGTGCTCCCTGCCTGATTTGCTGCTCTGCTTTCTTCCCTGTGCTCCCTGCCTGACTGGCTGATTTGCTTCCTGCCTTATCTGCCACTACGCTGTCTGTCCCCTTCATGATGTGCTGTGCACCACACACCGAGGCTGCCTGTGCCATGCATGAGCCACCACTGCTTTAGATCAAAAACGAGCTAGTAACCTGAGAAAGGAATCACTCCATGAAATGTTGTGGCCTCTCTTATGACAAAAATTAGACTAGATCACCATATTAATCCCATCCGGTCTTAAAAGTCTATACTTATAATTACATAAAGGTTAGAAAATCCTGTATTTTTATTAAACAGAAGCTATTGTGCTACTGCAAAATATACTGATATTATTTGTGATGGAGTTTCAATAAGCAGCATCAGATTTAACCCTTAACTTCGCTACACAACAGTTAAAACTCCTGATATTTAATAACAAAAGCAATGGATTTGTCCCCTAAACAACAGTGCTACCAATCCAAGGATGAGATAAAGACATACAAGGAACACATGAAATTCTGAAATGTCCTATGACCAGTGACACACATGAAGACAAGAATCTCATAAACAACAGTAAACAGTGTCAGCTACTGAGACAGACCGCTGCATAACTGTCTCTCAAGGAAAAGTCTCCTGATGTTGCCACGAAGTTAATGATACCTGTAAAATGCACAGATGTGATCCAAAAAAACCAGAGGTCATTGCAACATGTCAAGAAAGTGATAGAAAATAGTATGTTATATTCTATCACTATATCTATCTATCTATAGCTAGATCTAGGTAGATCTATAGTATCCATAGATATCTATAGATAGATCTATAGTATCTATATCTATCTATAGATCTATATCTATAGATATAGTATAGATAGATATAGTATAGATATCTATCTATAGATAAATAGATAGATATAGTATAGATATCCATCTATAGATAAATAGATAGATATAGTATAGATATCCATCTATCTATAGGTAGCTATCTATAGATAGATATAGTATAGCTATAGTATAAATATCTATGTATCTATCTATAGGTAGATATCTATAGATAGATAGATATATATAGTATAGCTAGATATAGTATAGATATCCATCTATCTATCTATAGATAGATAGATATAGTATCTAGATAGATATAGATATATTATATTTTATCAATTATATATATAATTTTCTATCACTTCCTTGACATGTTGCAATGACCTCTGATTTTTTGGATCGCATCTGTGCATTTTACAGGTATATGTGTGTGTATATGTGTATATTTATGTGTGTGTGTGTGTGTGTGTGTGTGTACGTGTGTATATTCTGAAGTCAGGACGCGAGCTGATGGTAGGTGAGACTGTCTGCACGGATCTAGGTAGGTAGGTAGGTAGGTAGAGAGATGTTCAACGCCAGAACGCGAGTCGATGGCGGTGGTTGACCTGCAAGGCGCGGAGCATGATGCGGCGCCCCCGAAGCCCGCAGCACTGTTTCCATTCGCTCGAATGAGACCCGAATGGCGCCTTGGCACCCACCGCCGCCACGGCAAGAGGGACACAACAGAAAGAGGAAGAGAAAGGCGACGACTGTTTTAGGGCCAGGGA